CCCCCGCTCGGCTCCCAGCGGCTCCCCGGCAACGCCGGAAGTCAGCGCCGGGCAACCACCTAAGCGGCCCGGCAGGAAACATCCGCCCGAGCCAGCCCCGCGTGCGCTGAGGGCGGGCGGCGGAGGATGAGGGCCCGGGCGGAAACACGCGCCCAGGAGCGCTGGGCCTGGGGCTGCGGCACCTGCGCATTCCTTGGGGGGTGCTGCAGGGCCCGGGCCCGGAGGCTGCAGGCGGCCGCCCCTGCGCGGGTTCGGCCTGGCTCCGCGCTCCCAGCGCGCAGGGCAGAGCTCCCGCTCGAGGCGACACGAGCCCACCGGGACTCCTGCGTGCGGGGGACTGCGCTTGAGGGCCCCACGCGGGACGGCAGTGGCGAGGAGCAGGCCGCATGCAGCCAGGGTCAAAACTTGCCTTGACATCAGCACAGCCAGGAAGGGAGAATGGGATTTCTCCTGCTGAGCTAGTGATGCAGCCAAGACACAGACAGCCAGATAGATACTTAGGTCCTTAGACCAACACAGCTACAACCTATACTCCTGTACTCTCGTACTGAATCACATATACTCTCTTATCTGAATTATATCTCGATCAACCGACTGATCGAGGCATGTTGGTTGATCACTCAAGGCATGCTGATTCCATCAATCGATTGGCCAAGCAAGCCGTGTCCATTCAATCGACCAAGGGAGCCATGTTTGAGCAAGCCAGCTGTCTCGATTAGTAGAGCTGTGTCGGTCGGTCGGTCAATTGAGCTGCGTCAGTCGAGCTGTGTTGAGCAATCGAGTGGTGCCGATGGATTGAGCGATTAACATATGCCAACTGATCCATCTTGATCGGTCGGTATATCTATCAATCTATATATTCAGATAAGAGAATAAGTGATTCAGCAAGAGAGTGCGTATCTATAAAAATACGTGTATAAATCCAGATGTGCAGATAGGTGACTAAGTGAAGCGTCCCCCGCTTGCGCTCATCCTAGGTATGCTTGTGCTCTGAGAGGTGAGCAAATGAGGGGAGCGGTGTAACCAGACTCATGGGCTGTCTCTGTGTTGCTGGCTCGGCTCCGCACGGCCTAGGTTTTTCAAAGCACGTCCTCCCCTCTCCTTGCCCAAAGGCCATGCTCAGACACAATCACTTCCAGAAGCGCCTTCATTTCCTCCCAACGAATCAAGGTTTCAGCCCAGGTCAGTGCCTGCAGTTGCTGATGCCTGGAACCGCTCGGATTTGTGCACTGGTCCAGTTTCAAACCAAGCCCATTTCCTGTTTCATCCAAAGCATCCTCTGCTAGTGGCTTCCCCAGGGGCTGGTGCCAGGGGACTTTATGGATCCCTTTTTCTGTGTGTGGAAAGTTTGTGGCACCTGCCTGAAGGCCCGGGGCGGGAGCAGCCTCCAAGAAAGGGAGAGGCCTGGGAAGGCAGCGAAGAGGGCAAGGGCGCACAGAGGCCTGCTCTGGGGCAGTACGGGTCACGGGGTGTCCCCAGGCGGCCCCGCCGCGCGCACGTTGCGTCCCTCCCGCCGAGAGGGGCGCTGTGGCCGGCGCAGAACCTCGGCGCGGCGGAACTCAGGAGTGGGGGAATGGGCTTGCAGCCGGCTGCGTTTCCGGGGCGGACGCCGCGGTTACGGCGCAGTAGGACTCCTCCGAGCCGACGCCGTTACCCGCGCGCGGGTCATGTGGGCCGCCAGGCTGCTCTGCCCAGCGTGGGGCGCAGCGGCCGGCTCCGCGCTCAGGTGGGGCCGAGGGCGGCAATGAATTCCCCGCGTGGGACGGGCTGCTCTGAACCTCGGGCCTAGAGTGGGGGCTGGGGCAGTTCCAGGGCGACAGGGAACCTGGCGCTCAGAGCCAGCTCTGCCTTCCGCCCCTCCGCGCAGAGCACTTCCTTGTCAGGATGTCCCCGTGGAGGACACCCCCGGTCTCCAGGAGGCTCCCCGAGCCAGACCAGCGCCCTGCCCGACTTGCACTGACCACCTGCTCTCTTCCCCGCAGCTCACCGCCGTCCCGTGCCCTCCAGTCCTGGGGCAGCCACTGGCAGACCTCGGTGCTGGCGTTCAAGGCGTCCGTCCCCATGAGGTAACTGCAGGGTGCTGCTCCTGCTCGCCAGACCTTATCCGGTGCTCTCGCCTTTCGTTGTTATTGGGGCATTTTTTAAATTCAACATAGGTCAGTCCATACAGGTTCAAAGGTGCGTCTGATCCCAGTGCAGTTTGGGAAGAGCCAGGTCTGGTTAGCAAAGTGTGGTTAATCAGGCAGCTCAAGCAGTGAGCAGTTGAATGTAGGATCCCATAGGCTGCTGGGATGCACTTTGGACAGGAGACTCTACTCCCAAAATAATACCTCTTTTTATGCTGTTTTATTATTGGTTTAGCCAAGGGTGCTTCACTTCCACCAGTTAAGCTCTTCCAGCAGGGCTGGAGGACAAACCTGCAGGATAAATTTGTCCCAGAGCCACATCATCCACCCCACAGGGCTGCTCACTGGCCAGGAAATATGGCAGTGAGGGTGCGGTGGCAATTAACACTGATATCCCTCCCCCGCTGCCCAGTTTCCAAGATGGGTGTTGCTATGGTGGGGCTGGACCCAGAGATTGACCTGGCACTCCCCATCCACTCTGTGGGGCAAAGAGGTTGGGCAGCACTTAGTTAAGGTCATACCAAATCTATCAGTGTGTTAAACGTGTCAATCATGTAAATAAGAAACTTGCACTTGAAACAGAAAATGTGTTTATAAGTTTAAAACTTGCCAAAATAAAACAGTACGTTTTTGTAAGTACACCCCAGGTAAACTTACCTCACATAACACTGCCTAATAAAAATAATAATTTTGCCTTTGCCATTTACAGTTTCAAGTCTAGCTTGACTTTAATCCAGCTCCTCAGCTTCACTAAAACCTATGTCCTGTGATCTGTTGTCTATAAACATTTTTATTTTTCTAAAACTTCCTTGGGCAACAGCACAATGTAGAAATAAAAGTTATTGCTAGTTCATGAATATGGAAAAATATGGAATTTTTCAAATTGATTTTTTTTCCATTAGAGCAGAACCCCAAAGGAAGAAGAAGAGGGTGGATCCAAAAAGAGAGCAAATGGTGAGGGAGCGTTTGAAAAAGAAGATAAGAAAGTTGGAGAAAGCTCCCCTGCAACTGATTCCCATTGAGGACTTCATAACACCAAGCAAATATTTGGATAGCACCAGGTACAGAGAACTGTCAGCTTTGGCTGTAGAGTTGATAATGAACAGGAGAGAGGTAGAGGTGGAAGCAAATCCTGGAGGTGATGCCACTCATGTCCATGAGCTACTCTGGCTTTTGTCTATGGATAGCAGTATGGTGATAAACAGCTAAAGGATTGAGAAAGTTGTCACTTTCAAGTTTCAGTTTGTTTTCTTTCTGCCCAGTTCTGAAGCACTGTTCTGTCTTTCTAATGGAAGTAGAATTGTAGTTCTGGGTGGAGGATGTGCATTTTTTCAGAGGTGGTCTTAAATTTGCACTGTTTCTCTCACAAGGGAAAATAATTGCCTTGCTCTGGTACATCAGTCTAATTAATATGCGTAAAGAAATTTTGCAAAATTTATCATCAGCCTTTTGAAATAGCATTTTGTGTCTTCTCTGTTTAAAAAAGCAAAACAAAGTACCTTGGATAAGTTGAATTTCCTGTTATAAACTTTTACTGTAGGATTATAAAGCACTTTTATGTAAATTAACACAGCTACTGTGGTTTTTGGGTCAACTTGACTCCCTACAGTGCACCTGTGACTTTTTTTTAAATGCTCAGTTTTGGGAATGGGAGTAGTTTGTGTGTTAAAAATTGTTACTTCCTTTGATATTTGCCAGGGTCCGAAGTGCCGCCCCTCTGTCGGTTGAGGAGAGCGAGAGACGTGCCCTACTAATGAAGAAATGGGCCCTGTACAAGCAAAACCAGCACAAGGCAGACATGCAAACAGTTACCATGCTTGTAGCAGCCCAGGAGGAAGCACTAACGGAACTGCGTCTGGAATCGGAAGAACTTTACCAAGCAGCAATAAGGAAAGATGTGGGACTCTTTCCTTTTGAGAAAGAGGGTCCAAGTTATACACCACCAGCTCCTGGCTATGAAGCTCCTGAGGGGAAGTACAATGATGTCACCAAGGTGTACACATACTGAGAGGGGGGCAGTTTGCCATGCGGCTGGCAGCAGACGCTTAGTTTGTTAAAGGACACAATGGGATTAAACTAAACTGTTTTGGTATGTCAAAAATTATGATTAACGTGGTTGTCAGGAAATCCTCACAGAAAATGAAATTCCCACCTTTCCCTGCCCCCTTTCTTTCTTAGAATTAGCCACCTTGGTAATAAAATGTCCAATAAAAACTAAGTAAACTTTACAGCAGGTTAGGGAGAGAGTTTTATTTTTTAAAACATATTTATGGAATCTTTTTCTTTTATCTGTTCCTTGGTAGCTGTTCTCTGCTGTAACTATAACTCGAGATATAATCATGATACAGGGAAGGATTGTTGAAACAACTGTGTCAGTCTGTAGGAAGAAAAGTTTCAGTTTCTACTTTAACTTCCATTTGGATTTTTGAGGTGTTTGTGGGTGCATATGAAAGGGAAAATTGATACAGTAGAAAAAAAAAACAGATAAAATTCATATTGCAAGAAAGTGAAAAATAAAAAATGCCGTATGGCTAATGAATAATGTGATAAGAGATTCTACTTTTAACTACATTTGCTTAAGACCACAACAGACCTATCTGTGGATGCCATTTACAATTTTATTTTTAATATTTCAGCAAACACGTTTACAAAAACACACCACCACCTAAGAATAATTTCACCAGAGCAAAACGCAGATCTACTGCATCTTTGGTGTTTGCCACCCTGACTGTACTCTTAAATACATCTCAGGAAGACATGTCTTAAAAAACATTAAATATAACTGGGTACTAGTCAAGTGTTTGACCAATGGGAACAAAAATAAGCTGAGATGACTTGATCAGATGCTACAGTTTTGTAGCTTCTGCATCTCTCAGTGGAAAAGACTGCATGAACTGCTCTTGTCTTCCGTTATAAAAGGGCCAAACACAGCCATTACTATTACTACTTTGGTTTGTCTTCATTAAGTGGAAGGTACCAATCAGCTGGTGGGCCTTTCCTCAGCGTCCACACAGGAGCATGTTTCTGTTTCTCCAGAATCCGGGCTCTTTCACTCTTACAGAGAGATTCCTAAAATGTATGACAACATGATGCTCACATACTGTTTCATCTTCCAAGCACCCTTTAAAACATCAGCTACTTGCACAGACCATGGTATTTCTTACCTGTGAACATATAATACAAAGTGGAACAAAAGCTGGTCATGCTACAATGAAAGCTGATTGCAACAGTAATGTGGCAATGCAGACATGGCACAAAAATTTGACTTATGACATGATCATGCTTGCTATTGCTCCTGCAGTAAATATGGACATAGATAAGGACCAAGGGAGAGATTTTTAAGAGGGTGCTATAGTCAGCATGACAAAGTTTGCTTAATTTTGGTGGTAACACTTAATGGGGAGTGGCAAAAGGTACTTTCCCTCCTACTGTTCTGAATCTGGCCAACATTTGAAAACAGTTCTAGGTTGTATGAGACTGTTACAAGCATTTTTGGCTCAAAATTTAATTACTTTTAAAGACCTGTAAATTTTCTAAATGCAGCAATTAGCCCCACTTCCCAGAACTCTCACACACCCATGTTAACAGTAGTAACACATTTTAAAATCTTCACGCAGGGCTTTACAACTGTGGAGAAGGCCTCTTCTTTTATTAAACAAAGCTTGAAATATTTTAGGGTGCTCTAGCAGGGCAATGACTTACTGCTGACAAGTGAGGAAAACAGCCTTTTCATTAGTGTGGAAGTGGGTGAGCAGATTTGGCATGTGAGATGGTGAAAGGCTCACTGAGTTGGATGTGCAATTTGATTTCCAGGTGAGTATTTAATACAGCTTCCCCTTGGGTGTTCCCTGTACCTTAGCATGTGCACTCTTGCTTCTCTCCCACTCTCTGCAGTCCTTGTAATCCGTTTTCCACTGAGCGCAGGAAGGAGCCTCTCCAAACGTGTAGTAGTGATGGAAGAGGTTTTGGATGCCCTTGCAGTGTTTCCATTCAGACCAATAATCACCACAGGCTCGTGGCGGCTGGCAAGAAAGTGCAAAGCCGCTGTACATTTAAAAAGACACTGAGGTGAGGAGAAAACAATCCCCCCAGCCCCCTGGATCTATGGCCTCAACTGGGGCCCTGCTCCAGTGAAAGCTGGATGGAAACTGGCTCTGGAGCTCTTACACCTTTTCGAGCGCTGCATCTTTGCAGTAGGTCACTAGCCGGTAGCTCTTTTTATAGCCAGAGGGTCATTTTTACCCGGCCGGTCTACATTTACCGCGTGACTCAGCACTGAATTGGGTGATGGATGTAACGTGTAGCAGCGCCCACAGATCTCTGGACTGAGGACCAACCTCTCTGCCCTGGAAGCTGAGCGATCTCCGAGCTGGACAGGCGCGGCCCGTGGGTTACAGGTGGCTGCGCTGCGGGGGGCCTCATGTGCTCCCCGCCCGCCCCGGACACGCGCAGCCTGAAGCATTGTGCCCGCGGTGCCCCGCACTCACGCGACCGGGGGGAGGAGGAACTGAACGCGCCTCCACTTACCCGCCACTCGCCGCTGTCAGCCATGCTACTGCCCCTGCCCCCTCGGCGCAGCCTCCTCAGCCCAGCGAGCCAATCAGAATGCAGGGCCACTTGACAGACAGCGCATCCGAAGCCAATGGCCAAGGACCTTGAGACAGACCTCGTTTGCTCGGCGGGAGCGGACAAGGGTTCGGCAGCATCCGCCGGTGCTCGACTGCGAGCTTTGCTCCGCCCCTGGCTTGTGCGATAGCCAATCGCGAGAGAGAGCGGGCGTGAGAGACAGGCAGTTGAGCCACTCAGCGTGTTCACATGCCAACACACCAATGCGGCCAATGGCCAGGCTGTGGGCGGGACGCGAGAACATGGCCGCGGCCCGGCCCGGCCCCTGCGGCCTCCTGGGAGCGGTCATCGCCCCGCCCCCGGAAGACACCCGCGTCATAAAGAGCGGGTTTATCTCCCTCAGCCGGACGAGGCCAAGGGCAGGTTTTCCGGGCGTCTCTCGCAGCTCCGACGGGAACGAAGTGACGCTGGGTGTCGTGCGTTCTTACAGAGATGCCTCTTTATTATAAGGTCCGCATCCTTGGCAAACCCTCTCAGTCAGAGGAAGATGCCCTGACACCCAGCTGTTTGCACCTCTCTGGGTCGAGGCACTTGCCCGGCCAGGGAGACGCGGGAAACTCCGTGAACGCGGCAGAGGCGGGCACGGACACGGGCGGTGCGAGCAGGACCGGTGCCCTCCGCGGAACTGGAGCCCTGAGCTTGACCCTGCTCCAGGCTCTCACTCCTTCCGCCCAAGAGGCAGGATGTCTGTATGGCCATGCCTGCAGGTGTCTCACTTGTAACAGACAATTAAAGAGACGGTTTTGGTGGCCACTCTCACACTTTTCTATTAAGAGATAACATGGATTTCACACCTGGCTGGCACAGGCAGGCAGCTGCAGGTCACCGCTTACTACGAATCGCTTTGGGGAAAACAAAACTCCTTTGCTTGATTTCCAGAGGCCAGCACATATCAGACTAGTCAGTGTTCAGTTACCCAAGCAGAACTCTGAAGCTGTGTCTTCACCATTCAAATACACAGCACTATTTTACTACAGTAACTGCTGGATAATAAGATAATCTATTGTATCTCTATTAAAAAGGCATGGCATTAAGTAAAATAGCAAATAACCCCAAGTGGTTGATTCTTTAGAAGCAGGATCCCTTAGATTGATTTATTACTGAATATCAAAACTACAATCAGACAAGTTTGTATAAGGAGTGTAGCTCGCTCTGTTAGGGAGCAGACACATCTTCCATCAACAAGGCAGGGGTAGAGGAGGGGGATACTGAGGCATTGTGGGTCATGATACAGGGGGTCCAGGGGAAAAGGACTTGGTAGTGGGGGTCTACTACAGACCTCCTCATCAGGATGAGCTAAACCTGGTATTCTCCAGGCAGCTCTCAGAGGCCATTCAGGCAAGAGAGGCAGTGGTCACGGGGGGCCTAAATTACCTGGACATCTGCTGGGAGGAGCAAACGGCCAAAACAAAGAACTCAAGTAGGTTCTTAAACTGTGTGCAGGACCTCCACCTAACCCAGGAGGTGTCCAGTCCCTGGGCTTAGCAACAGGAGATGATCTTATGGGTTACCTGTGAGTACACAGTAACCTGGGAGATTTTGACCAAATGATGGTCACTTTCACAATCCAGCGAAGAGTAGGAAAAATAACCAGCAAGGCTAAAGCGTTAGACTTCAGAAGGGACAATTTTAGTAAACTTAAAAAGCTAGTTAGTGAGGTGCCTGAGCTCAAAAGCATCGAGCAAATGGGGGTCCAGGAGGGTTGGCTGTTTCTCAAGGGAGTGTGATCCTTGGGGCAAAAAGGAGTCTATCGCCTTACACAGGAAAGGGGGCAAAGGGACAAAAAAGGCTCTTTGGCTGAACAGGGAACTCCAGAAAAGACTGGGGGCAAAGAAAGAGATGTATAGGCAGTGGAAGCAGAGGGCAGCCACCAAGGAGGAGTATACCTCCCTGGCGCGCTCTTGCAGGGAATCAGGCAGGCCAAGGCAGGACTGGAGCTTTGGCTGGCTACAACAATCAAGGACAATAAAAAGTCCTTCTACAGATACATAGCGAGCAAAAGGAAGGTGCAGAGTAACACAGGGCCCCTGCAGTACAAATCTGAACAGTTGGTGGCTGACACAGGGAAAGAGGCAGAGCTCTTCAATGAGTTCTTCGCTTCAGTATTCCTAGGTACTGGCCAGGACAACTCCCCCACCTTGAACATAGATAGATGTCTGGGAGGCACTAGACTGCCAATGGTTAGTGCTTAGTTAACAAGCACTTGGAGGGGCTGGATGGGTACAAGTCAGCAGGCCCGGATGACCTCCATCCACAGGTGCTGAAGGAATTGGCCAGTGTCATAGCTGAGCCACTAGCACAACTGTTTGAGCACTTATGGTACTCCAGCCAGGTCCCCACGGACTGGAAAAGAGCCAATGTGGTACCCATTTTTAAGAAGGGGAGAAGGGATGAGCCAGGTAACTTTAGGCCAGCCAGTCTTACTTCTATCCTTGGGAAAACACTGTAAAAAATCATTAAAGAGCACATTTGTGAAGGCCCAGCAGGGGAAATGATACTGAAGGGAAACCAACACGGGTTCGTCACAGGTACACCCTGCCTGACAAACTTTATAGCCTTTTACGACCAGGTCACACACTGCCTTGACACGAGCTGAGGCAGATGTCATCTACCTGGACTTTAAGGTCTTTGATAGTTTCACATCCTGTTCTCATAAGGAAGCTAGCAGGTTGCAGAGTGGATGCTTACACAGTCAGGTGAGTGGCCAACTGGCTTAGGAGCCGCACCTAAAGTGGTAGTGGATGGGTCATTTTCAGCCTGGAAGGAGGTGGGCAGTGGTGTCCCGCAGGATTTGGTCCTTGGACTGGTGTTATTTTATATCTTCATCAGCGATTTGGACAGGGGTGTGGAGAGCACTGTGTCCAAGTCTGCAGATGACACCAAATTATGGGGCAAAGTTAACACACGGGAGGGCAGGGAACGGATACAGGCCAATCTGGACAGGTTGGATCAATGGGGAGAATGAAATAGGATGCAATTCAACAAAGACAAATGCAAGGTACTCCACCTAGGGAGGAATCCCAGCACACCTACAGGTTGGGGGATGACCTCCTCAGCAGCTGAAAGGGATCTTGGAGTTATAGTTGACTCCAAGATGAACATGAGTCAGCAGTGTAACGAAGCCAATCTCACCTTATTGTACATTAGCAGATGTATGACCAACAGATCAGGGGAGGTAATGCTCCCCCTTTATGCAACATTGGTCAGAGGGATTCAGAGGAGGTCCACTCATATGATTAGTGGCTTTTGTGCAAGACCCTATGAGGAGAGGTTGAGGGATCTGGAACTCTTCAGCCTTCACAAGAGACATCTGAGGGGAGACCTTGTAGCCACCTTTAAGTTTATTGAGGGAGGACAACAGAGAATTGGAGATGCGCCATTTACCAGGGCACCCCTAGGAATAACTAGAAATAATGGGTACAAACTAGTGGAGAGTAGATTCGGGTTAGACATTAGGAAGAAATTTTTCACAGGGTAGCTGGAATCTGAAACGGGCTGCCAAAAGAGGTGGTACTATCACCTGACTTGGAGGTCTTCAAGAGGAGGTTTCCTCCCATTAAGGTCTCACATCATCTAACTATGTCAGCCTTGGTCTGTCATGAACATGTCTCTGAAAATCTTGTTTGAAACAGTGGCCAAAATGCAAGGAAAACTATCAAGCATAGAAGAATATAATACTATTATCACCAAGGATAGAAGAGAGGGTAGCACAGTCTCCAGGACTGAGTCAGCAGAAAAGTCACTGTTCCTTTGAATAAAGCAGAGTTTGGTGGTTTTTGTTATCTCAGATAAACCTGAGAAGTACTTTCCCCTCTTTCCAGAACACAAAAGGAACCATTTCAATCTCCTGGAATTTAGTTTTCAAATGAAAATAAGAATTCAAACCAGTAACACCACTTAAAATTAAAAAAAAGATGATAACAGTGTCTGTGTTTCATAAAAACAAAGTCTCTCTCCTCTTAACCACACTAACTAAAATCCAAATATGCTGAGTATTACTTTATTTTCCTCCCAGCTGGCTAAACGTTCCATAACTTATGGTTTTCTTCCCTTCTTCCGCAGGGACTGACCTTCTCCTGAAAATGCAATGAACCGGCTTCCAGACTCATCCTGAAATGGAGGAAGGAGAAGACATTATTTAGATTTCCTTTGTTCATAATTGAGATGTATGTCTTCAGACACTTACTTCAGACAGTATTCCCTCATAAAAGCACTGATATGTGCTAAATCTCAATCACTGAAGTAAAACTTCTACAGTGCAACTCTCATCACTTAAAATATCCACAATTAATGCAGGCTACCATCTCCGTCAGGCAAAAAGAACCAGCCGTTTGCCCTTTATCCAGATTTCAAAGCCTTTGCTCGCACCACATCAAATAAGCAGTTATTTCAGATAGGTTGAGTTCTGACTAGTTTCACTGCTAATACTAATTGTGACCACTGCTAAACCAATGAGGCCACAATAAGTGATGGTAGGGACTCAATAACAGCTTTCATCCATCAAAAATGTTAGTATTTTAGTGACCTTACAATTTAATAAAAGCATTAAAGTCCACTGGCACCACTTCCATTTCTTATTTTCCTTTATACCCACACTAGGCAAATCTTTAAAAATCAGCTAACAAGAGAATAGCTAAGTTTTTCCTGTAGATTATGTGCATTAACAGAAGTTCTTCATGATGAACGTAAGCTGACAAAGGCTCAGGACCCAGAAAATGGATCCAACGGTCCTCAACAAGAAATGATTTATCTTCATTACCAGGTAAAATGCTCCCATCCTTATTCACCACCTAACATAGGGGAATCAGACTCACTAGGCTGCATGAGCTGGATTAGTGGTGTTAAGCCAGTCTGCAGGCTGGATCTGGCCAACAGTTCCTCTCTTTTTCTCTCTCCTCCTGCCCCAGCACACCTGATCTGGTGGCCATTCCAGCTGGTCTGGGACCTGCATTCAGGACTGTTATACAACGCCTGTTCCAACCAGACCGAGATCCAAACTGCACATAGGATCTGTGAGCAGCCTAGGTCCTGGAACAGGTGCCACATGCGGCAGTCTGCCAGGACAGGCACCATGTGCAAACTGGGTACTGCTTTGGCTGGACCGAGCTGCACCCAGTTCCCGTTCTGGCCACTTCAGGATCTGCACCACATGCAATGTGGGTCCAAGACTGCCTGGAGCAACCACTGGATCACGTATGCTGGGGTGGGCAGAGTTCTGTCAGCCTGATCTCACGTAGGTCTAGTCAGACCCCTGGGCAACACCACAGGCCAGATGGCAGGACTCCTTTGGCTGGATCAGGCCCACATCTGACACCCTGATCTAACAGATACAAGAGATTGAGCCACTCCCACCCTAACATGCTACCATTTATTCACATCTACTGAAAAATATGTCTGATCATCATAAAATGGATAGTATACTACAACAGAGCCCTATTTTCTCCATCAAAGATTAACAGCAGTAACTCCTATCGGAGCCAAAGCAATCTGTGATAAGAAGTGCTTGCAACACAATAATCCCCATTGTTGATGGATTTATCAGCAGGAAAGAGATCACACTGATCAGAAGCCAGAGTCAAATACCCTAAGCAGCACTATTTTCCATGAAAAAAAATCCTTCAGTGAAAGGAATTTGCTCATGCTATTAGGAAATGATTTTGGCCGAGTTCCAGTAAAATGGTTATATTCAAAACTAGCATACTGTTCTGAACCGGTCTGATCTTAGATGGCTGGGCAGCATCAGACTAGACAAAGTGTTCCAGCATGTGTGGAACCCAAAAGCAATGCAGACTCGCATGGTAATAATTCCTGTATTCAAAGGGCAAGGTTCAGTCTTACTTACCTCTTCAACTTTCTTGACTAGTGGCCGTGAGTTCCTGATGAAGGTGATTTTACCAATTTTGAAGTCATAATTGGGTATCCCTCTGGAAAAGGAAGATTGAAATATTGAGTTAAAGAAGAAACCTTTGCACCCACTACAGAGGAACACATGCAATAAACAATAAAAGAAGGATCCTTGGCTTTTTTTTCCTCCTATTTGAATCTCTTTCTGACTTCTTTGAATGACTGTCATCACAACTGTCTTGTAAACCAGGGGTGGGCAAAATATGGCCCACAAGCCAGATCCGGCCCGTGGAAGGGCTTTGTCTGGCCCATGGTGGGTTCCTCAGTCACGCCTGGCTCAAGCATTGTCCCGCAGTGGCATGTCCTGTCGCCCCCTAGGCATGCACCAGGGCTGGAGTGGCTCCACGCTGGACTGCCTTTCCAGGCAGCAGCATTTGCTGGCCCCAGCCCCGCGATACTGGCAGGGATCTGTGCGCAGCCCCGACCTGCCCCGCCCCTGCTGCAAACTCACCTGCTCACACTGAACAGCTGCAGCAACAGCAGTGCCAACAGGGCAGAAGTGTGGTAGGTGCAAGGGAAAGTGGCCTCTTCCCCTCAGCACTGCCCAAGGGGCTGCCCAGCACTTCCTGCAGCCATGCAGAGCCCATGCTGGGCTGCCCTGCATCTGCTCTGCACTGCCCCATGGGACAGCCCACAGTGACAGCACAAGGCAGCCCAGCGTGGGCTCTGCACAGCTGCTGCAGGAAGCACTGGGCAGCACTGAGGGAGAGGGGCTGCTTTTCCCCTTGCACGGAGCACACTTCTGTCCCGCTGGCACTACTGTTGCTGCAGCTGTTCAATGTAAGCAGGCAAGCCTGCGGCAAGCACAGGGCGGGGCAAGGCTGCGCACAGGTCCCTGCCAGTACCACGGGGTTGGGGCCAGCAGCTGCCTGGAAAGGCAGTCCAGCACAAAGCTGCTCCAACCCTGCTGCATGCCCAGGAGGCAGCAGGATGCACTACGGGTGAGTGGTGCAGAGCAGGCTCGGGCTGGGTCAGGGCTGTGTGCAGGTCTGGCTAATCTGCTCCTGCTGGGGTCAGTATGGAGCAGATGTGGCATGGTGCTGCTGGCAGTGGCAGGGAAGCTGCAAGGTGCACGGGCTCCAGGTTGTTGCAGGGCAATATACAAAAGTAAGACTTGATTTTGAGCAATCACCTCTATACACAACACAAACATGCACAAAATTAGGACAAAAAAATCTTTTAAAAATAAAATTAAAATATGTTATTTTGAATGTTAGATTGTTAGTATATAACTTGGGGTTTTTTCCTGGTTCCACCATGGCAAACCCTCTTCCCAAAAGGAGTACTTCCGAGGCAAGAGCAGGGACTTCCAGTGACAAAGGTCAGTGGATAGGGGGTGGCACTTCTGTCACCAAGATGGCAACCAGGGGGCAGGGCACCTGTCAAGGGGTGGGGCTACCTTTGCAGCACTTGACAGCTCACTAAAACTTGTGAAGCTGCCCTCCAGTCATAATAATTACCTGCCTTTGTTGTAAACACATCAGACTCTGAACACAAAACTATTAAGTGCTAAGCAAATGCTGCCAAGAAACAGAACCTCCAGTGAAGAACTGACATTTAAATTGTGTGCAGCCATGCTCCTTTGCCATGCCTGCACTTTTCAAGAAGGTTCAATTTTTCTGCTAGTTTTCCATATATGCTTACACCAATGAGCTGCAACCCATATTTTCAGAGGACCATTTCTATTAAAACTGAGAATTTTGAACTGCATTCATCTAGATCCAAAACAAGACCACAAGACTTATCTGCCCAATTTTAAAAGCAAAGGAAGCTAAATGCTTACTTTAGACCGGTGGTTGTCAACCTACAGCTTGTGGGCAAAATACGGCCTGCCAAACAATTCCATCCAACCCACAAAGCAATTGGCAACAATTCAGTAGCGAGGAGAAACTGGTGACAACTCAGCAGCACAGAAAGCAGTGACTAGGTTGGAAGCACAGTGGCAGCAATTCAGTGATGGGGAAAGTGGCAGCAGCTGGACTGCAAGTGGCATTCTGTCTTTGGAGTAAGCTGTGCTAATCTGGCCTGCCACTCATAAAAAGTTGATGACCCCTGAACTCTAGCCCATTAAAATAGAAATGTTTTACTTGAACAAACATCTGAAAAAAAAAATCAGGATCTCAGTGATATGACAGTAGCAGAACAGTATTTTAAGAATGATTCACTCTGCTTTAAAGATTTTTTACCTGTTGAATACTGCATGAAATGGACTAACCTTCGAATTTCTCCTGGTTTAATTGGCGACGGACTAGGCTCAACACCTTTCTTCTTGCCATCTAATCTGTTTCCAGAGCCAGAGAATGCCTACAAGTGCACATGGTAAATACAGTCAGTTCTCCTTAAGTTCCACTTTACAGGTACTGTCAATGTAACACTTCAAATTTAAGCTGCACATAATGAATACATATGTGGCTAGAATGAGCAAGGGATCAAGATTTGGGCTCCTCTGCTGAGCCAGTACTTGTAATCTGCACTGCCATGCAGGGAACTAAAGTGGTATTTCAATTCCCAGGTTCTAGATCCTCCTACACTGACATAGTAGAGGGCACCTACTATCACTGGCTAGCACCTCTCCACCCACTTACATGAACATGACCAATTATGAAGGAATTCTTACTTGATCCTCCAGATAAAGTAATATAGAGCCTGTAAGGTTAATGCGAGTACCTGCTCATAAATCACTGCTCACTAACATACAGAATTTGCTTAAAGTGGCTGAATCTTACAAAGGCTGCACAGCCTAATACTACAACAGCATCTAGTTGTTCTTATTCCACCATTTCAATCTATTTTTAATTAAGGGAACTTTTTCAGTCCTTATTATAAATATAGTTACTGATAGAAAAGTCTCTGAGTTGCTAAACAATATACATTATAAAAACAAAGTTTGTTTCCCTAGAATATGCACTTAAACATTACTCTCATTAAACACAGCTCATCTACCACAAATGATATTTACTGCTGCACTTGTATTTTGTACATTCCCAAGGGAACGTTTCTTACAGAAAGAATATACTACGCAGGATCTCTCTTAATCAAAGGATTATATATTTCCTTTTGGCGATGGTCACCAGGTGATGGCTCTTGAGAGCATCTGCAAAAATGGCTCAGAGCCTTGTCTGAAGGCAGGACCTGTAATGGTGAGGTGTCATTTAACTAAAAGTTGCAAGCAGCACCTACCATCAATAGAAGCACCCTTTCTTCAGGAAAAATGGACATTTCTGACAGATGGAAAGCCTGAGGCAAGCACCTGCACAAAGCAGAAGCCAGCTGGGGAACCTCAACAGAGAAGGGCTGTGAAGCCCTAATGACTAATACAGGACCCACAGACCTGGAGAGGCAGAGTCATCCTGTTTGTATTTTTATTTGTTAGGTAATAAAGAAAAGCCCTAAGCAGAGGGATTGGAGTTGTGCAGATGTCTGAAACATGGTTTCACATTCCTTGGTTAAGTTCCTGCCCACCAGTTCACAGACAGAAAAAGCAGACTTACACGAAATCCTATGTCACTCACATATCCACTGTGATCTGCTTCAACATCCTATTCAAAAGAAGGAAAAACAAGTTGCTTCATTACACTCATGCTGTGATGTGTGATTAACATAAATGGTCCCATGCAATTCCTACCAAATAAGTTTACAGATCCATGTTTTAATTTTTTTAATAAACCATTTGAGGCAGACCATCTACCATGAAATGGAATTGGGAAGGAAAGAGAGAAAGCAATACACTTTATGACCTGGAATCTTGATCCATCAAGACCTTTTCAGACTAATGTTTTCAACAGTGATCTCTGCTCTATAACCAACAAGGCTGGCAACTAAAAAGAATTTGCTCTGGAAAACAAGATACGTTTACTCACTGTGGTCTCCTCGTGCTGTGTATTTCTTTCTGGTTCTTTGTATCCCAAGGGTGCATCAAAATCCACCTGTTTTTATAAGAAGAGATTATTTGTTTAAATCTAGTAACTCCTCATTTTTAGATTTCTGCGTCATAACATTACTCCCAGATATCTGTAGACTGCCACTCTACTTTGAACTACAGATAATTTATCTTTTAAAAAGTTCAGGTAGCAAATATACTGAAAGTGTGGCAGCTTGGACCTCTAACCATGCTTCTCCAGCGCACAATGTAAATCCACTGTCAGGGTAGCATAGAACACCAGCTGCTTTGACCTTCAGTCTTAAGGACTATCCAACAGCCAGTACCTCTCATGACAACATAAAATACAAGTGCCAAAAAGGACAATCAGAAAGTTAGATTTAAAGGAACCATCTCACTTGAGTCACCTGAATGTGCAAGATCTTTTCAGACCAGCTAAGATGCATGGGTCAGTGATGCACTGATAATCCTTCCCCTTCTCAATAGGCGAAAGAAGTCCAGCCACAAGACCCTGACTTACATTCATGTCGCACTCTATGATGGACACAGCTTTATCAGGTTTGGTTTCCATCACCCGAAGTTCATAGATCTGAAAAAGTAAATCACATTATGAAGCGGTTTTCTTTGGTGTGCAAATTAATGATCAGACACTTGGGTGAACCCTTCATTTCCAAGAACACTTGTTTCAATGGACTATAAGCTGTTCAACAGCAAGGTCTGCCTTCGTGTTTAAACAGAATGCAGTGCAAGGCCTCAATTCAGAACAATGCTTCTGGAAGCCATCACAGGCAACAGTATTTCAAAAAGGCAGAATTTTATAGTAAAGATTACCATCTGCTTCTGAACAGAGCTAGACAGATTTATTTTGTCAAGGCCAATCATCTGGTTCTACATCTTCTGACCCTGTTTTGAAGAAGCAGCTGCAAGTTAGAATGAGTATTGTTTTAATTTGGCGTCTTGTCTTTGTTTTGCAACATGCCCTTCTATAGTTTGATTACTAAGTTTTGTCTGACATGACTTATCATTAACCTGTATATCATTGGAGCCACGCTAAAAGCTGGAAAACAGGCACTCTAGCCCAAAAACGCAATTAATATTTAAAGAGTTATTCAATAATTTTAAAGAAGTTAGGTTTGGGCTCATTGGCTTCAAATACTTTTCATTTAATTATAGGTAGGTAGGCAAAACAGCTGCTCTGTGACAAGTGCCTGTATGCATGCCATTACTCCATGGTAGTTGAAGTAGTTTATCCCTCACAGAAAGTAGGACAAACATGCCCACTGGTAGCTACCACAGTCACTAGTATGTTAAGTCCACACCCTAGCTTACCTCATAGTAACTTGTTCGTATGCCATATAAGCAAATAAGAGGCAGGTCAGGCTTTTTCTTTCATTTTTTTTTAATTACAATACTCATATTTTAAATTAAGTCAGTATGAAATGTCTAGCTTCAGTGAATTTCCCAGTGGCACCCCCTGTCATGTCACTTTAAATTACTGATTTAGGTAAGAGACACTTGAGAGCCCATTTTTCACAACTGGCCCAGTATAACAAGATATAAAGCTCCTATTAAAATTAATGGAAGTTCTGACAGCTCAGAATTTCACATGTGCTCTTCCTCCTCTCTGCTCTCTTAGCTTAGATCTCGAGGGTTGCCCTTGCTCACCATCTTCTGGTTCAGTCTGAATTAATCAAAGAGGATAGAAACCTCTCACTGTTGAGGTGAGGCCCTTCATATGCTGCAGCTCCATTATCTGCCTCTTCTGTAGATATGCATTCCAGAAACTGATTTTGTTTTAAACAAAAAAGTAATCATGGTTGCTAAGCATGCCTTAAATACCAAGAACAGAGCCTCAACAAGTACAGTTTTGTCTGCCAGAGACTATAACTAATCTAAATCATAGCTCAGAAAGGAATGCATCCTTTTTTTGCAATAAGTATTTGATTCTGAAATCAAATGACAATACTCTTAGCACCAACATTATTTCATAATTTGAATAATGCAAAATTTCCAGAAAATGTCCTTATCCCACAATCCCAAATAATTCAACACCTGCTGAGGTTGCCAACACACTCAGCTACTTCAATGTCCAGCTGCCTCAAATGCCAACTTCTCCCATAACTACTTGCAAGGCAGCCATGGAGAGACAATGCAGAAGTCTTTGGCACATTAAAACGTGACAACATAAGATATACGGATACAATACCAACAATACCTATTGATCGCACTATTCATTGTCAGAAACTAATTTAGGTGATGTCAACACAGAATTCTTATTGGTGACTGCACATTTGGATCCTATTTCAATTTATGGGACTGATTCCCAGATACTTCTCAAGTCTCTGTTCAGAGCTCTGACATCTTTTCTATTTGGAACTATCTGTTCCTGACCATTTAGCTTCCCCAGTATCCAACTATCTGTCTGTGAAGATTAAGGAAGCACCAGTGCCCAGGTGCTGTATTGATTAGGAAAGTGCTTATGCATGTGATAAATAGGTATAAAGCCAGAACTGATTTTCCATTTACCGCACAGAGATGTGTTTAGATACTGCCATTTATTTTACATACTATACCTTCTCATTGTAGTTGATGGCAATTACATCCCCGGTGGTTAGACAGGCAAAATTTCTCAGTGCATTCTCTAATCTTTGCACTATGTTAAGATGAAAAATATACTTATTTTCTGTGTAGAATTAAAGTAATATAACATTTCCATTCTGCAGTGGTAGGTTTTCCTAACAAGCAGGCTTAAAATGTTAAGTACCATGGACAGCTGTCCAAGAAGCATTGAGTTGTAAAGCATCTCTTACAAATAACCTTCGAGATGCCTGATAAAGATTCTCTAGACAGTAAGCCAAGACATCCATTTCCAGCTATAATGGGCCTTCCCCACCCCCCACCTTTTCTTACTCATTCAGAGCATCCAGTAAACAAGGCCAGGACAGCAAAAAAGTAGAGAGATTGTCTCAAGTTAGGCTTCTGAAGTCAGCAGCCTGATTCACCAAGTACCAAGGAGTTACATACATACCATTATAAAGAAAAACTATTCCTCATCTTTTCTTGCCCATTGGGTCAAAGACTGCCTCAGCAACAACTACAGCCAGTTAAGACCAACTACAGGCAGTCCCCGACTTACAACGTATTGAGTTACAACATTTTGCACTTACAATGTTTATAAATTGACACCCCGTTTCAACTTTACAATGCTTGATCTGACGTGACATCACATCAGCGAACAAGTTCGCTGCGTCACCCATCTCCCTGAAGAACATCTGTCCAAACTTCCTTGGACACTTTCTTTAAGAAAGCCGAGAAGAACCCAGAAAAACCTACAGCCAAGACACCTGAGAAGACTTCAGCCAACAACCCTTCAAAAAGTTCAACCAAGAGCCCTTCAAAGAGTCCAGCAAAGTCACCTCAAAGTCCTTCCAAATCAATATGATTGCTATTTACAATATAAATGCATTAATGCAGTGATATTATTCATCTATAATTGATTGAGTACAAAATTCTGGGTTATTCTTGGTGAAAATAGGGTATTGGGCCTTGGTTCAGGAACCAATCCCCATTTATAACATTGTTTCCTACGGCAAAAATGGTTCCGAGTTACATTTCGACTTAAGACGCAGTTTTCAGGAACCAATTATGTCGTAAGCCTGAGGACTGCCTGTACACAAGTTACCCTTAACTTACCTGGCCTTTGTTTAGAAGACTGCATTCACTTCGTGCCATACTTTTTACAGGCAAGTCACAACTTTTCTGATCATTTGCTCTACTGCTACTAGTTTTCGAGAAGTAGCAACTATTACCTGGTGTTAGAAATATAAAACCAGTACCTGGAAAGCTGTTCCCAGCTCGTCCTCTCTAATTATGGGAAAGAAGTATAGCCACAGTCCCAAGCCCCTTCCGTTATTCTATTAGGTATTCAGTGAAAAGGATACACAGCTTTGGGATTGGTGATGTCAAGGAAATCTGGACTCTGTGGTTGAAATTTGGAGTAAGTAGCCACTTGAAGATTGACACTCTCTACTTGCACCAAGCCTCCTTCCTCCAGCAACAAGTTCTGCATCATCTGCAAACAACATTGATGCCAAGGATAGGATACTATATACCAGAACCTAGGCAACCAAACCAGATCATTTTATAAGGAATTTCCCCAGGGAATATGCAACTATATCGGGCTTTGTGCCCTGAAATCCACAGGGTTGCACTGGGCTTTATCATAGCCCTGTACCTCAGTAACACCACAATATACATGCCACAATCTACTTTGATTAACTTAAAGCAAAGCTTCAGCTGAAACTGAGATGCTTGAAAATGTTATTGTGCAACAAGGATACAATTTCAGCAAACATTTTACTTTAATATTAAAGCAACACACCACACAAATCCTATTCTTCAGTTTATGCCAGTTCAATGAATGGCAACTTACCCAGTGTGGAAGATAACAAATGCCCTCATCAGCTACAAACTCCAGCACTCCACAGTGTGTCATTCGATCTGAATTTTTATTGGTCAGCTTAAACAACATAGGGTAGGTAATGTTAAGTCGACCTGGTGAATGAGAAAAAGTACTATTTGTTATCAAACAAACACACAGTTACAGGATGCACTAAGGCTATACATTATAACAAGCTAATATCCTAGTATTGGAATGGTTTAGCTCAATACCCCAGCTCCACAAACAAGGCCAGAGATATAAAGCAGATACAAATATATTAGACTACGATTCGGCATTTAGCCCTTGTAAGTGCCTCTCCAAAGCTCCTCTGGAGTGCAAGATGACATGGCAAAACAATATTACTGTACTAGCACTGAAACAGGACATTGTTCTGTTCAAGCTTCAATCAACTGCAGAATATGACTTATAATCTTCAGTTGGGTAATGCATTAGAGTTTCTCTAGACAAGTGGTTTATTGTACTAAGGAAAAGAAAGTTCAAAGATAAGAGCCCTTAGCTAGAAAGAAGAACAAAAATGGTCAAAACACCTATCTTCTGGAAAATCTAAATAAAGGGAACAAACCCCTGATTTTGTTGGATGACCATCCTTTTTCTGCCTTTCAAATTAACTTTGAGAATTCTCATTGCCCAGTAAAACCAAGCCAGCAAATAAACCAAGTTATTTGTAAGCATAAAAGTAAAAGAGGATAAATTACTTCATAAATATAAACATTCACATTAGAGTCAAGCAGCTGTTGGAAATTTTACGCTGTCTGCCTATCATATAAGCAACATGTAGACAAAAGCAAATGACTTTGTATTTATTATCTTTTGCTGGATGTATTGTTTGACAATGTTTTGTTCCGATATGGGATCGCCTGGCATGTCTTGATTTAAACCAGACCTTAAAGAATATGTAAGTCTGTTACTTGACTAAGCATTTATCACAGCCTTATTGTCTGATGTTTTTAACCGCAGAATAAAAATTACTTACTCAATTGATCCAAAGCAGATGGTGGCATAATTACTGCAGAAATTAACAAAAAAGGTAAAGTAAGATTAGGAACAGCACAGCTATGGAAGACAATATAGTATACAGCCTTATCTTTCCTTTTTGTCAGGCAGCACATTATAGTGGTACTGACTTCAGACAAGTAATTTTTCAAATTACAACAGAAGTTAATTTAGACAAACAATAGTCACTAGCCCAGAATGTATATTTTATTTTTGGAGACACAGGTGAAAGGAGAATATAAAAGTGTTATGGGACTTCATATTAATAAATATGCTTTCCACAAGTAAATTTGTTTTGGTTGGATTCATTCATTCTTTCAAAATAGGGACAACTCAAACATCATGAGACAGGACTGACATGACAGCCTGAAAGTAAAGTGAGCATATCTATTTTTTTGATCAAATTGAGTGAGCTATCAAGAAAGTAATAATGAGAGGAAAAGATTTTTAAAGCTTATGAAGTTTACATGACACATTATTAGTGATAAAGAAAAACTTTTGTGAAAAAATAAATAATGGACCTTTCCCCATTTATCTCTACATAAATTAGTAACAACCCCAGCATCAGTTAACTTATACTAGTATAGGAAAATATGATTTTGAGTTATACAGTGCCCTTATTACTCAAGCCACAAAACCAACACATACACATGTGCTTTTATGCTTGGGGCCTAACATTGTTTCTGCAACCACTTTCTATAAACAATACTACTGAACATTATCATCCACATGTAACCTTCAACAATGTAGTATTCAAAATAAAACATGCACATACTCTTCCCGCCTTTCTCCACATCTGACCTGTCATTAGGTCCTGCAAGCATGGACACTGAGAAGCAACGATATTGAGTTGAGAAACGGTTCTGGAAAACTCGGGGTATTGGATGATCAAACATGTTAAAAGAAAACTAGAGGAAGAAAAAAAATGACAGAATATAAGCAGGCACCATCATACTAAGATTTCCTGCCAGATGTTCATCAAGCCAAAGCCATTGTGATAAATGCTGTGTACTTATTTTTCCTAAGACCTAATATGTTCATGAAAGGTACAAAGAAAAATACAATACAAAGATTAGTTATATGCATTTACCAATGAACTTATGAAGTAGGATCATGGAAATTCAACTATGGATTATTTCCACAATTGCAATTTGACTGTTTTTACAAACTAAAGCAGAACAGACTTCAGTTCCAAGTTAAAAATATACATGCTAGAGATCATTAATTTGTACAGTGCTGCAGCAGTATGTTGTACAGATCTATCAGTGTACAACTGACAAGGAATAAAGTGGCTACACTTTCTTCTACATTATTCATCACAGACCAGCAGCTTTGTGAATGTGCATCAAGTTCATGAAAAGAACACTAAAGATTGACAAGCTGCATTAAGAAATTAAACATCAAATAAAATAATGAGCACTACATTACATTTCCAGAATGCGACACACAACTTAAAAAGGCATTAGAAAACAGATTAAAAGATGGATCAACAAAAATAAAATATGATCAACTTGGAAAAAATAATGCAGTAGATGGTAAAACTTCAGACCTCAAACAAGAGAGTTATGCACATGCTTTACTTTCCATACACACATTATTCTATTAAACTCAGTATAGCTACTCAGATGCATATAGTTAAGCATGTACTTAAACATTTCCAAGACTGTAGCTTTAATGATTGCTTCCTAAAGACACTAGCAAAAATAATTATATGAAGAATAATTAATAAAGTTGAGTAAGTAGCAAAAGGCTCATTTTCCTGGGACAGTTCAAATAATATTTAGAAAATGACATGTAGGGTGCTGTTAGGAAAGACTAGCCATTTAAACCCTTTTTTCCCCATTCTTCAATGTGCTGTACCAGGTTTAACAGCTTCCAATATCCTGAAAAATTCTTCTCTTTGTTTCTTTTACAAATCAAAATACTAACTGGAAACTCAGTGAGAAAGCTGAACAACTTTTACCTCTTTCTGGATTTAATATCAAGTTCTCAGCCACACTTCTAAACTGAAGAAATTAGAAATAACCATCGTAAGTGCTCCACACTAACACTGTTAGGCCTATACCTTTCAGGCTCAGTTTATGCATTGTCATCTCTCTATGGGAAAACACGCAGACATAAGCCTTAAACGTTGGTGAAAGAATGTCACTCGTTCAGACTCAACCCCGGGCACTCTCCTCCTTTAGCAGAGATGTGGTTAAGCCACATTAGACTGAAGCCAAGCAGAAGGCAGAGTAGATTTGGCACCTTATAAACTAAATTACTGTTGAGAGGTACACAGCACAAGCTTTTGGGAGACGGAGCTCACTTTATCAGAGGTTTCATCATGTCATCATCTCACGATGATAAGCTGAAACTCACCAAAGCTTGTGAAGTATCTCTTTGTGCCCCCCCTGAAAGATCTATAGTTAGACAGATATCTATATATCTTTATACAGACAGATATGTTTCTCTGTGCGTGTGTATACATATATACATATACACACACATCAACATAATATCTATCCATATTGATTATAATATATATATATATATAAACAACGTGCGTGCGTGTGTGGAAATCTCTCACTCTCTAGATGTCTGTATGTTTTATACATTGAGAGAGCTACAGCTACCTATCTGTCTGTCTATATGAAAGCGATGGGTCAGAACCTTCGGGGAATCGCATAGATCTAGATCTAGGAGTTAGTCTACAAGGCGCAAATCTACCCTGCCAGCCACTGTCCCCCACTATAAGCAGGATAGTCTCCCCCGGCCTGGCCCCTCCTAGGAAACGCCGGGAAGGAGGC